GACAATCGAAGGATGGAAAACATACCCGTCTAAAAGTTCCTTTATTTTGCCCCTTTGATTTATACGGCGACTTTTAAGCCAGAATTTCGATTGGCTGAGAGTCAAGTTTTCAATGTTCTTCGCTCACACTGACGCCGGGAATATCATCAGAAGAGAGATTGGCCTTTCTTCTTCGTTCGCCATGCTGCTTTAATTACCGCGAGGGCTATTAAGCCTCGTTTCGGTGCAACTTCCGGTTTTTTCTGGAATCGGTGTATTAGTGGACCTAGTGGCAGGCTAGGGGACTTAAATCTAAACCACTTGGCTACGCCGCTTCAATAAACTAATGATTTACGGTTTGCAAGGTAACTGCAATTCAGACTTCAATCACTGGGCTACCATTTAAGTGAGTGTTTACAGTGCAAAAGTAGTATACGAGTTACCTGGAAGAGATCTTTGAATCCCATTCCTTTCATGCCAGACATGACCAGCTCAGTCAGGAGGGTCAGAGTGGCATTCAATGCACCGCCTAAAAACATTATGAGTTTAGAAAATTACATTACAATATATGACATTGTTACTAAAGTTTATCAGGAAAGACTGCACGATGGCCAGAGGTCATACGAAAGACAACAAACCACGCAATAGTCACGATCTACATAACTGGCCACGACTCAGGGGCCAGATTCACGAAGCTCTCCTACGTTAACACGCATCTCTTAGTTAAAAATGGTTTCATAACAGTAACCTTTTGTATTCAAACGATACATGGATAAATCCTAACCCACACAAAGCAAGCTTTGCGAATCAGAGAACCATGAGTGACAAAATACATTCTTTAGTATTCTAACCTTGGAGAAGTGGTGATCTTATTAAGCCCATTATTGCAGGTAGAGTTGAAGAGCAAGCCTGGAAACCGAAAAGAAGTATTTTATTGTTAGAGAGAACAGAACAACAACTTTATCACGGTGAGAAAATGATACTACATATAACAGTTTCAGAGCAATGTAAGAGTTTTCATAATTCTGCAAGTTTACAGTTCTGCAACTGTTTTTTCTTTTTTCTTTTTTTTTTTGTGAAATAACAAACCAGAGAACTTGCAAAATCAACCACTGGTTGAATTTGAGCTGCCGTGAACATGACTTTTTTATCACCAACATGACTTTGAAAAGTGAAAAACTTAAATATAATGGTCAAGTCTTATTAAAAATTACTATACAAGTATCGAAGCTAAACAAGAGTGGTGTAATTGGTTATGCATGCACAAGGTTGTGGTGTCCACCTCAAAACAATCTAGCAAGTTCTGTCTTTCTTTCAGACTTTTCAGGTTTTCTGTCTGTTCCGGAACTTCAATTTGCTCTCCCTTAAATAAATCATTTGATATCTTCATCTTTATGTTCTAGGGGCGTTTCATGTACCAGTGAAGGCACTTGGTCAAAATTGTTAGCACTGCTTCGACCAGAATTGCAGCAAAATCATCATAGGTGTCTCTTTGACAGTGAACTTGTTGTTTCTTGCTTGTTGTCAACAACACAATCTACAGTTTATAACAATTGATATATAAGTCNTGCAATGGGAATAAGAGGTTTATGCTGAATGACTATATAAAGGTCCTCATATATTGAACACAGAACTTAAAAGCATCTTACAGGACCACACGACGTTTTAGCTTATTATCTTGGACGGAAGAAGGGGGTGGAATGCACATGAGCGTGCTTATCTGGAAAAAAGGCAAAACTATTTATGCAAGTAGTGATCATGAAAGACAAGCCGACTCCAGTAGAGGGTGTATGTACCTGAGAGATATGAAGATCACTTTCACTGATTAGTGGTGGCACCTCAGTCAACACTCCTGAAATGTTCTCCTGCGTCAATAAATAACCTGACAGAAGAGACACAAGATTTCTTGACAACCATAATGGACACGACTTAAACCAACACACACACACACACACAAAAATCAACACACACACACACAAAAATCTTCAACGTGAATACTAGGCCTTCAAGAATTAAAAAAAAATGATAATTCATAGTCACTAGTTGAGTTTTGTTTGGCGATTAGTTCAGATTCCAAGTGGGAGATTCTGGAATTTGACAAAATCAATCAAAGTGGAATCCCTACATGTACAGGTATTTCTCTGCCTCAAAGGGAAGCGAAAAATGGTTCGAGAAGTCAGGGGTTCAGGATATCGGGGAAGAAATAACAGTTAAACAAATCCAAGCAAGACGACTTTTGGTTAGATTTATCTAAGGAGTTTCGAAAACTCGACGGTTTGAGAAATACGGACTCCACTACGTCTTCAGTTGACAGTTGGTGCCCAAATTGTCGCAAGTCNTAATTTTGTATATACCAAATTGCACCTCAGGTAAAATTGAACCACAACATCCACAAAAATAAAGTTTACAAAATAAACCCTCTGATTTGACTGGCTCGGTATTATGCACATGGAAGAATAATGAAGATACAGTTACTGTAACTGTTACAGAAAACTTGCACTGTACACCATAGCGAGTGAGTAACATTCGATCCTCCAAAAACACATCCCCGTGAAATGTCAGTAAATTCAGTATTATGTGCATTTCATGCTTTTAAATGACTTTTAACATAATGAACAAAGACTATGAAACATGCAACATGGACCGTTCACAAGTGTAAATCATTTTCATCTTGTCTTACACCTGGATATATTGATATCTCATCAACTTACATGCACGATATGGCTCTCTCTTTGACCTCCTGGTCAATATCGGCAGCCTTTAGCCTTGTGAGCGTACACTGGTAGATATTCCTCACATATGGTTTGAACTCAAAAGAGCTTGACTGAACTCCTAAAGTATTAGTTTAACAACAAGAAGGAAAAAAAAAAAGAACAAAAAAAACGTTTTGCTTGAGCCCATGTATACATGTAATTTTTAAGTCGAACTTGAACAAATCCTATTTTTCAAAATAGGACATTGACTAACTGAAATGTTAGGTTTTCGAGTTAGCCTACGGACTTGTCATGTCTTTTTGAAGAACAGGAGAGAGAAATCAAAGTTTCGTTTTAGTTAAACAAAAACGTTATGCCAGGTATTGGTCTGAGTGAATAATGCTTTATTGCTTTTGTAAAAGTAAACACGCTAAGCTCTTTAAAATGGGTCGAAAGCTCTTTTGAAAGAAATTGTCTGTTTCCCCATGATTGTTCCTGGAAGTGGTTTGTGTAAAATTTATGCAGCTGCATATCTGGTATGTACATGCACAATGTTGAAAATACATCTGGATCAGGGCAAAACAACTACATGTAGACTTACCATGAGGCCTGATGACCTTGACTAGCTGCTGTGTCACCATCAAGGCTTCTGATGTGATCTTGTAGAATGGATCACCGACCGCTGCTACAACAGGCTACGTTTAAACACATCAACAATGCATTAGATGTACTAGACAGGCAAAATAATTATCCACTACACAAAGCAGTTAGTATTCTCTACAAAACCAAATAATTATCATTATTAATTAAACAAGCATTACTTCATTTTATTTTCCCCTGATTTTTGATTGGTTGAAAGATCACCAGGTCACCTGCAAATACTTGTCAATAAGCGATGTTCCATTCGTGTAGATTACACCAATTTCCATGACGTTTTGTAACACAACAAATTAGGGGCTCATGCACTCTGTGACTTCTCTACGTTGCAGGTTCACATGCCACGGATTCTATTTAAAAACATAAGTAAACATTCCTTCGCCACGTCCTTTAGCTTAATTGTCCACAAAAGAAGACGTCCTATCTCTGGCTTTGATAGGACTTCTCAATCACCCCTCAAAAACTTCCTTCAAAGCTAGAGATTTCTCGCAAAGTTTCAAAATTATCTCATGGCTTTGAACATCGTGACAATGAACCTTGATAACGCGTCGAGTCTGGCAGGTTTACAGTTGATACTTAAGTTTTATTTCTAATGACTGATGAAACACTTGATACAAGCACTTACTGGGACAAGCACGTGAATGTGTGGATGGAAGACTTTGGGAGGATGCTGAGCTAAGATGCAGCCAAGAAATGCTAACGTGTCGATCTTCATGTTTGATGTTGAACTCTTGTCTCTAAGATGGAGAAAGCAAAGAAGGCCAAAAACATATTTTATTCATAGAAGGAAGACCCTTCGCCCTCAAGGGCCACGGGTCTAATTGTTAATTATACTGTAGGAGATACTGTATGGTGATTACGTAATTAAGCAACCTTGCAGAAATGTTCAGACCCAACTGGTCAAATAAAAGGAAATTTGCTCCATTACTAATACATCGGGCACAAATTCCTTGCGACAATTAATCGTGCTATACCCTTTCAATATTCAGAATTGATAATTTTTACCTCAATCAGAAACTTAATCGCTTATGCTAATGAGGGAAGTGTTGTAAACAACTGTCGTCGTGGCTCGATTGTCAGTTCAATCTTTTCATAGTTAATGGAGGGGAAGGGTTATGAAACTCGACAAAGTTCTTTGTTGCACGTTTTTGTTCTCTGTTTTGGCCTTGACCGTGCACAAACCCCAATAGTTGTTTACTACTGACCGAGGAACTAACCAATGCAAACATGTTGATTACGTAACTCAGGCATAGTGTATGAACGCAAAACAAAAGATTGTGCACGGTCATGGACCTTCCAACATAAATCTTGGCATCTTTGTTTGTTCCTTTGATGTTTGCCGGGCTTCATAACCATTCCCCTCTATTAACTATGATCTTTTTTAAGAGTTTTTTCCGGCTTCCATGAACTTCGATACAATCTGGATTAACTAAATACAAAACTGGATTGGCTAAAAAGAATGCTACCTAAAGCAGGATTTACATGTAAATGCTACAGTTTAAGGCCCCAGAGGTTTCATTCAAGAAACGCATCAAATGTTTTCAGTCCATACTACGCTGGAGGAATTCAAAAACCCAACAATCACTGATCATTTTGGATTTGTGTTTCAGGAAAATTCGGTCAGGGAAATCACGTGGCTATCGTGACGCCATCGTTTTCGAAAAGCTCCGTTTTCGTAATGGATTAGTGAGGACGGTAGGCCTAACTGTAGAAATAAAGCTGCGTTTTCAAATCTCTGATTCTCCGGTGTAGTGTGGACACTGCCTAAAAGTACAGTGTAGGTACATTCAGCACAATGCTTGGCTGAAAACAACGTCTTACCCCAGAGAGAACTGTATTCCAGGAACAATAGCACTAATGTGGTCAGACAAAGCTCCAGGTAAAACTGCAACGAGCTCCAGCAGCAAATGAAAACATCCCTAAAATGGACAGAGAGCTGGTTAAAAGTAAGTGAAGATAGTCACTACAACTACAACTTGACTGAAGAAATGAGCATTGGTTAAGCCGTGGGTTATCATTCTAGCATAAATCTGCAAATTGTGCAACTGTACATTCAGTTTACCAAAGAGATGATGGTTTTT